TTAAAAGATAAAAGTTTTTTTTTTTTAATGTACTTGACAAAAATACACAAATAACATCAGTATCAGTTGTTCTACACCAAAGGAATTATTGCAGATAAGCATGAATGCGCATGTGACTATCAAATATTTGATAACAAAACGAATTATTGTTATTAGCCCAAAGGGGCATTTCCCACAAGGGCTATTAATTTCGTTTTGGCATTTTGCGTTGGTTCACGTTTAAAACTGTTGCCACCAAATATTAGAGCCCTGCTTTATATTTAAAGAAATTAAATAATGAAGAATCTGCATAAAATGTATGTATGTCTCTCGCATTGTGATAAAACAACGTACCTAGAAACATCCAATTTTGAATAACGTAATCCTCTACCCGAATATGGGCATCTGGAAGCCCAAATTTGGAATTTGTTTTATTATCTATTTCATATTTTGTAAAACTTTAATGAATTTTTGATTAACAGACTCGACGATTTCAAAGCGAGCAATGGCAACACTTTACGAAAAAAAAACATTTTTATCTCCATCGCGCGAGACTGTGTATCGGAAATTATTTTTTAAACATTTTGCGATATTCCTGATGAATTGAATTTTTATGTGGCTAAAGTAATAGAACATGATTTAATAAATAAAGGTAACACACAAATGTTAGAAAAATGCCCCTTTGGGCATAATATAAAATTTGAAAACTTTTTTTTAATTACTTGACAAAAATGCACAAATGGCAGCATTAGCTGTTCTACACCAAAGGAAATATTGCAGTTCAGCATAAATGTGCATGTGACTATAAAAAAATTGATATCAAAAGAAAAAAAAAATACTTCATTTATGTTTATTTATTTGTTTATGTTACTAAATTTAAGATTTTTCTTGCTGTTGCAGTTAAAATTAAGCATTAATTAGTAACATTTTTCTCTAGAAATAATTGCATTCATGCATTAAATTGACATAATGTCACCTGCTATTCAGAATTTCAGTTATAGGATAAGCTTGTTGAGGGAGATTATTTCTAAGTATTTTGTGTTGTTGTGACGTTGTAAATACACTAATCGTTCTTTTGATATGCGAAAAAGTAAGATTACCACATTCTTCAGAAGAACCTCTGTTTGCGGATTCTAACTTTGCAAGCATGCGGAAAAAAGTGCTGTTATTGTTGTTAAAAACGTGCTCCTTCTTAAGGATTTCGTTAATCTTTATTTTAAGATAGGCGTTGCCCGTGTTCTGGGTTATTCTTCAACGAAATCTTTTCATTGGCATGAAGGATGTTTTCCGTGACCGATGGCTGTAAGCTATTTTTATTTCATTCTTTACAGTTCAAAATGCCGGTAAACTTACAGCAAACCACTCCCATTTTCTATGAAAATTTCGTTACAAATATTAACGGTATCCCTTAGGACATCTATCATCTTGCGATTGTTCCTCTGAAACAATTACTGTAACGATAGAATGATGGAATTTAAATCAAGCCGTCATCTCACGTGACCAGATCGTCTCTTCAGAGCGATTCAACACCATCTCCAATGTCCATCAGAATGAAAGTTCGCGCTCAAGTTCTTTCTTATCAGATAACTCTCGGAGATTTATCATCGCCCAAGTAGCAATTTAAATAGATGTGAAGAGAGTCTTAAACGAGAACGCGTGCGTTGTTTTTAGAGTTGAAATATGTTCGGGATTCAGGCAAATGATGCATGTTTTGGTAGCTCCGGAATCTTCTTAAGATCTTTCGAAGTGTATTTCTCTCATTCTTCTTCTCTGCTTTGAAACGTCAGTAACTTCACTTCCGTATTCTTAGACTCGGAAGTCATTAGTGGGAATATGAACACCATCGATGTTAACGGTTGATAGAAACCGTTAGCATGAAAGGAAACTCTCATCCCATTTAAACTGGATGATTATACTTGGATCTCGGAATCTTTTCACTTCTGCTTGCTGCTTTTTCCCATACCAATCTTGATATGTTTACATTTGCATCCTGATTCATAAATGAGTACAAAAAACAGTTTTTTTGTTATTGTTATTTAAGACTTTTATTTTATTAGCCCAAAGGTCTATTCATCACATTTTGGGATTTTGCGTTGAAAACTTTAAATGTTCGTTTCACTTTTCATATTATTGCCACCAAATATTCTCGACCTGTGTTATATTTAAAGAAATTAAATAATGAAGAATTTGCATAAATGTACGTGTGTTTCTCAAATACAGAACACAGAAGAATTTCGTGAATACAGAAGTTCAATGGATGCCATAAATAAGAGGTCTCCGTTTATAGAGAAAAATTTCATAGGAAGAGTGTTTCGGTTATTGTTTATTTATTGTACTTATCTGAAGTTTTTGGTTCGATGGCGAGAACAATATTAATACTGCAATTTTAAAAAACTGCGTTTCTTTAAAACGAAATCAAGAACTTTTATAGCAAACATGGCATCTTACATTGTGGCTCTTAACATCTCAAAAATTGCACAAAAAAAAAAAAAAAAAAAAAAATACTTTTGCATTTAAATAAGTGAAAATTAAATTTTAATTAAATGGGTTATTTGCTTTACTTTACTGGTTTGACTCGTCCAGTATACCAGTTTTATATTTGATCTTCTGAAACTAATGAACTAATCTCTGTATTGCTTTTATAACATCAAACCTTTAAAAATCTCTTTGAGGTGGTTAGAAGAACCAACGATCATTATTTTATTCATTAAAAATAGAAAGCATTTTTTTTTCATTCTTACCGCTGGTTAAACGAACCAGAACAGGGCATTTATAAAAAGGGAAGAGGGAATAAAAACCTAAGTGGCTGTTCTTTTACGTCTGGGCACTCCCTTCCACTAATAATTCAATTCGACTTGTTGTGTTTCATCTTATGAAAAATCTGACCTATTTTATTTATGAGCATAACTTCACATCAGGAACCATGCCTTATAATTACGAAAATAAAGACATTCAACTCGTTTCTTGGATCTTTTACAAATGATACGACTGCGTCAAATGTATGTTCTACTTTTTCTTTTGTATAACTTGCATTCCTTTCAGAATGAGAGACACAAGTGCTAGTACCCGAAGGCCGGTGGAATCTTTTAAAGCTTAATGAAGAAAGTTCTAGTTCTGTTTGCTAAATGCGTTTTTAGAAATAAGATTTATTTGTTCAGGAATTCGTTCCATGGTTGAAAGAGAATTTTATGTCATGCTAGAATATTAGCAGTTGAAACTAATTTCTGTGAGTTTTCTGTTCTGCCTATAGTTTAAAAACTAAAAACAATAACTGTATATTACTTGTTTCTTCTTTCCGTTTTTAATAATAGTATGTGCTTAAAAAGTAGGTAATGTGCTTAAGATTTTTAGAGTCATATTTTTAGCCTAAAAAGGTAATTTGCCAGAAGGGCTATTAATTTCGTTTTGGCATTTTGCTATGAAATGGCGTCCACTATGAAACGACGGTTCACTTTTCAAATTGTTGCCACCAAATATTAGGGCCCTGCATTATATTTAAAGAAATTATATGATAAAGAATTTGCATTAATGTATGTATGTTTCTCGCATTCTAAGAGACATCCAGTTTTGAATAACATAGCCCTCTACTCGAATATGGGCCTCTAGAAGCCCAAATTTGGAATTTGTTTCATAATCTATTTCATATTTGGTAAAACTTTAACGAATTTTTCATTAACTAAGTAAACGATTTCAAAGCGAGCAATGGCAACGTTGTATAGAAAAAAAAAAAATTTTTTATCCCGAGCGAGCGAGATTGTGTATCGAAAATTCTAAAGATATGCTCATTTTAAAATTATTTTGTGATATTACTGTTGAATTGAATTTTATAGTTTTTAAGTGCGAAGAGCGTGATATTTTATAAATAAAGTTAACGCACGAAACGTTAAAAAAAAAACGCCTCTTTGGGCATAATATAAAATCTGAAAGCTTTAATTTTGTTTTTCTTTTCTTGTGTGTGTGACGGAGAGCTATTCTACTCGAAAATATATTAATGCATATTAAGTTCCAAACACCACTAGGAAAGAAAAAGCAATCTTCTCAAGAAAGCGAAGAGCCACGAAAATTGCCCAAAGGGCACTTCGATGTATTTGGCGAACATGTGCTCTAATATAAATGTATAAGTTATGTATAAATGTAATAACATAAATGTATGTGAGAAATGTTACATCTAATTATCTCAATTTTTATGTTTGAATCATTAAAATACTCATTATCAATTGAAAATATTAACATATTTTATACCAATTAGTGGCATAAATTTATTCAATTTTTTTTCGTTAGTTTTAAGTTTTCGTTTGTGCTTGTTTTTAATTAAAATTATTCAAATTACTCAATATTGTAAAATGACTTAACGTCATTTTACAAGATGCTATTCTCACCAACACGCCTTCTGCTTTCAGTTTAGAAAACATATTTTTTTTTTTTTTTTTTTTTTATGTATTTAAATAATATTTAACACACAAAAATTCTTTGAATGAGAATTTTAGATTGTTTTTAAATGTCTCTTTATTGCTATTAAGAACATGCTGAATTTTAATTCAGCTTATTGATATCTATTGATAGGCCGCTCAGATGATATAGTGGTTAGGGGAGCCTATTTGTAATATCGAAGGGCCTGGGTTCGAATTCCGAAGATGGCATGATTGTAACTGTCCGTCTCTTCATGAGAGGCAACGGTGACTGCCTGTTAGGTGCCTCCACAATAAAATGGCCACCACTTCTGGGCCTAGGATTGGATAATGTGCCCACTATTGGAATTAAAAAAATTGATAGTTATGTAGATTTACTTAATTAATGCTTGTTAATTAATGCTGAATAGGCAAGTGGATTTAAAAAAACTATTGATAGTTATGTAGGTTTATTAGTTACTGGTTAATGACATAGTATCTGCAATAAATTTTGGCAGTTATCAAAGTAAATTGTATCCACAAATAATTCTATAATTCTTTTTTGATGAAATAATTAATTGTGGCAGATCTTTCCAGTCTCATCTATTAATTTATAACATCATTTTATTTCAGAAAACTGTTGGCTTTGTTCCTGTCAGTAAGGAAATGCTACAGAGCAGATTGTTTGATTGAAAGGTAAATGTAATTTTATTTGTATATTTATTACTACTTTATGTATAAAAGTCTTTTCCAGATGAGCAGTTTTTCTCACGTGGGAAAATATTTTGCTTTTGCTTTTGTCAGGTGTCTCGGAAACCTTTACTAAATAAAGCCTCTTTGATAAAGATGTTTTGCAGATGAGTAATCTAAACATTTGTTTAAAGTGTAAAAATAAGTACATTGCTATTTATCATGATACGACTCTTGAAAGCAAAAAATAAATATAATTTCACCATAATTTTCTTTATAAATGAAAAAAAAATTACATGCAATGTAAAAACTAGAAATTATATTTTAAAACTTCGAAGAAGAATAACCATAAAGAATTTTTACTCAAAAAATGTAACAAAATTCAAAAATGTAGAAATCATGTAAAAAGTTTGCTTTTCTCTTAGTTAAAAATAAAATTAAACTTCGCTATTAAATAAAATTAAAACTCAACTAAAAAGAATTTCAATTTTAAAAGCTATGTGTTGTTATTGCATTTTGTTTTGAATGCAAAGTGGCATAAAAACTCAAAAAATATTTTGATATGTGTATTACCATTTGATATGTGTATTACCATTCCCATAATCAATGAACCAACTGAACAATTTATGAAACAATATTTATGAAATAGATCGCATTAAAGAAAGAAAGCGCACATAAAAAAATCCTAACATTTCTACAATTTTTTATCTTCCCATTTAATTTTATTACGCATACAGAGGAGCGTAAACATAAGAGAAAAATTAGGCAGTCTAGAAAAATATTATAGAGCATTTTGAATTGATTATCCACATACATATAAATTTCAATAAAAATATGTAAATCTCAAAATTATAATTTAAACTAGCAATAGCCCTTAATTCCCCCCTCTCTATTCTAAAAATAGTAATAAATTTTCTGGCCTGCATCATTTCTCCATCAGTCTATGTCTACGTCATATGGCTTGCATAACGTTGATGGCGTAGCTAATTCGGAACCCGAACTCAAAATTTCGCAAACTGAAGCCTTTCTTTGGCTGCCATATTGGATAACTGCGCACTTTTGCTTCTAACTCTCTTCCCGTTAAGATGTTACTTCGCTCGCTGACGCTTAGACGTGTTGCTTAGCCTCTGCTACCTCTTGTTCATTGTTCTAAAAATATGATGAGTATAAAATTGTAGGGTGCATAGCGCACTCATAGTGAGGATGTTCAATGAAAAAGAATATGAGTCCTAAGAATTAGTTAAAAGGAATAAAATTATGTGCGGAATTAACGGTTAAGTTTGTCTTCGAGTGTCATCTTTCTGACTACGTACTTATCTCCAAGTTATTACAGCCTCTTCAACGCAATGAATGAATCATTCTGTTTTCTCCAGTCTTTTCTATTACATAGCATCATTTATTACATACATCTTTTTTATTACAAGTGCAGATGCCACACAGAAACATCGGTCAAATGGATTCAAGAGCAGTAAAAATGGATACTTTTGTTAAAATATGAAACCCGAAATTTTTGGCGATTACAATACTTCCTTTACTTCGTACAAAGAAATAGAAAAGTTATAATACGCTACCATGGATATGTCATCTGCTCGCCTTGATATGTATTCCATTCCACGAATACAGATATATCATGGATATGAAAATGTATGGCTCAATCGGACTATCGCTCGTTCAACAAACTTCCATTGTACGAAATATAAGATGTTTCATATATTTTCCACGCGCCTCGCCGTAGCTAGTTCTCACGGTATTGCCATTCGGTAAAACGTAAGATGTTTAATATAGTATTATTGTGTGCGTACGGGTTCGTAACAGATTAAATGCACAAGTCCGATAATAGCTTAATACAATTTATTCTTACCAAAAGAAGTATATCAGAACTCTGAAATTTTCCTCAGAGATATTCGTACAAGTGCTCACAATATCACTCAGCAATAATCAGTAGTAGTTATACTTCAAACTACTAAAAAAATGCTAAATGGAACGCAATGCACAGCACTTAAAGGAGAAAGCTAGTACGATTTATCTCAGTTCACGTGGAACTACAACTCGTAATAACAATAACTAATCAACTAACTAAACAACTGAGCTTAGATTTCTCTCTCCGGCTTTAAATAGTTTTTACCCCGCGGGAAATAGTTCTAGCATTTTCTGCTTCACTATATTTCTAGAATTCAGTAAAAGGATGAAATTAGGGTTACAGTTAACATAGTGTTCAATTACTTTTATTCAATATAAATAGAAATTACCGAGATAAACTTACTGAATGTTAAATGCCCGGCATAGCTTTCTCTTAAAATTTCTCTCACGCTGCATTCCAAGGGCAAAATACAACAATTTTAATAACCGTTCTACTAAAATTAGCTATACAAATACAAAATTCGTAACAGTACTTTTCGAAGTTAATCAATACATAATTTCTTAACAGACTAAGCGATTTAAATACATATAATAAACGTACTTCTTAAATTCCTGGTGCTTATATTCTTTTCTAATCAAATAATTGATAAAAATTGTTTCTTGCGTTATATATTACACACTTAGTATAAAATTGTTAGAATTTATTTATATTTGCTTTTTTTAAATCCAATAACTGCACAGCTTAGAATATGAGAAACACGGAAATTAAGCAAGAAAAATTCAAAGAGGATTTCGGATAGATTTTGGCAAGAATTCTCACAGAAATTCAAGAAGCGATGATGCTCTCGAGACTGATATTCATAACGGAAAAGGTTTCTTGTTATGAACGCATCATTACTGAAGAGCCAGTCTTTATTGAAATTATAATTCAGAAACATTCAGAGAAATCCTGAGACTGAAGCCGAATTATTTCTGATTCTTGACCTCTGATACTGTGGCCATCAACCTAGCTGAAATGAAGATGCCTAACATCACGATTTTCTTTACTGAGGGAGGAAGGGGAGGAAAAAGAAACAAAGCAAAGCCAAAACAAAATGATACCGCTTTTTATGCATTCGCTCGTTACACACCATACCGTTAAAATTGAAGGGCCGTTACGCCGGAGAAAACGAAAGCAAAAGTTACAGAAACAAAAGGCTATTGCATGAAGTCACAATAAATACCTTTAGAAATAATAGGTAATGAAATTAAATGTCGTGCGATTTCCAAGCAATAGTCGTAGCTGTGAGTAAACTTTCACTTATGCTTTCGTTATAAAGCTCGTGTATGCGACATTTGAGGTTGTTCCCATTTTTCTGTGAAGCATGCATTATCTTTTAACACGATAGTGGGATCTTTAAACACATCGATGGTAATTGTTCTTGGAATTTCAGTTAACTCGCTATCGAAGATTGCAAACGATTTGGAAATTCCAGTTTATTTTTGTAACGCAGGAAATGTTATGCAACTCATTGTTATTGTAAAGTCGTAGAGCTAACTGTGCTTGTGTTTGATTGGGAATCATTACAAAACATTAAGAATGTCCTGCCTTTAGATTGTGACTAGTAGATTTAATGAACGATGGCATGTAAATGTATGAGCTGTCAAAAGCGGTAAATAAAAATAATTTCAAAAATTTTTAGAAAAGAGGAAAATAATATATAAATAAAAAAAATTATCAAAGCAAAAATCTAAAAGGTTTCAGATTTTAAATTACGTCCAAAGGGGCGTTTTTTAAACTTTTTCCGTGTTACCTTCCTTTATTTATTAAATATCATGTTCTTCGCACTTAAACCATAAATTTCAGTTCAATAGTAATGTCGCAAAATAATTTTAAAATGAGCTTATCTTTAGAATTTCCGATACGCAGTTCCGCGCGCTGGAGATAAAAAGTTTCTTTTTTTTTTTAACCCCCGTAGATTGTTGCCATTGCTCGCTTTGAAATCGTTGAGTTTGTTACTCAAAAATTCCTTAAAGTTTTACAAAATATGAAATCGATAATAAAACAAATTCCAAATTTGGTCTTCCACATGCCCATATTCGCAGTAGGATAACGTCATTCAAAATTGGATGGCTCTATGTACCGTTATTTTATATCACAATGCGAAAAGTATGCATACATTTATGCAGATTTTTCATTATTTAATTTTTTCAAATATAATGCAGGGCTCTAACATTTGGTGGCAACAGTTTGAAAAATGAAACGGACATTTATAGTGATTCAACGCAAAATCGCAAAACGAAAACCTTCACGGACAAAGACCCTTTGGACTACTAATTTAAAAAATACCGTAAAGTTTCAGATTGTAACAGTCGCCGAAATGAGTTTGTTAAAGATTTTACACTCTCCCTGAGCTTGCATTAGCTGAAAAGGGCTATTAGTCTCAAAACGGGATATTGCGTTGAATCTTTAGAAAAATTTGAATCACTTTTCAAATTGTTCCCACCAAATATTCTTGCTCTGTATTATATTTAAAGAAATTAAATAATGAAGAACCTGCATAAATGTATGTATGTTTCTCGCATTTTGAAAAAAACGACCGCACCTAGAACCATCAAATTTTCAATCACGTAATCCTTGACCCGAATATGGCCACCTGATGCCGAATTTTGAATTTTGAATTGTTATCTATTTCATATTTTATAAAGCTTTAACGAGTTTTTGATTAACAAACTCAACGATTTCAAAGCAAGCAATGGCAACAGTCTACGGAGAAAAATATTTTTATCTCCAGCACGCGAGACTGTCTATCGGAAATTATAAAGATATGTTTTTAAATGTTTTCTGATATTGCTGTTAAATTGAATTTTATGTGGTTTAAGTGCCAAGAATATGATATTTAATAAATAAAGGCAACACACAAAACGTTAAAAAAACTCCCCTTTGGGCATAATTTAAAATCTGAAGGCTTTCAAATTTTTTATTTGCTTTGTCTTTTATTTTAATTAACCTTTTGTGGGTTAACTTGATTTATTAAATATCATGTTCCTCGAATTTACGCCACATAAAATTCGATATTTCAACAGCAAAATCCGCAAAATATTTAAAAATTGCAAGCTCCTGATAAGCAGTCTCGCGCGCTACAGAAAACATTTTTGATTCCGTA